ATATATACAATATTTTTTATATAAATGTATACAAAACGCTATTGCAAAAACTAATTTCTATTATGTTCCCAACAATCACTCAAGCACGATACAAATTTAATGGCGACAGATGAAGACTTGTAGCGGGAATAATTTTGTATAAGTATATTATGATCAAGAGAGACAAATATGAATTTTTTTCGAACCCATTCCAAACAGAAAAAGGATTTCTTTAAATTAACATCAATTTAACTCTGTAAGAAGTTTTATGGAATTCTTTGTTAATTGTCAGAAAGGATTTCTTTTTAAGTTTATTTCGAACAAATTACGTTAATTCAAAAAGAAGTCAAGAAAATGAATTCTTCTCAAGTTCAAATGTGATCAGTTATGCTATCTGGGCTGTCAGCCAAAAGAAAAAACATTTCCTAATCCAATTTCTTAGTATTTCAATAACATAACAAAATTATTGAATAAACTAGCAAAATTCTTGTGGTAGTAATGCCTAATAATAGAGAATATTGATTTGAATGCTGTGTAATTATGTTTTTCAGGTTTTCAATTTATCTTGGCATTGAAATCGCATGATGTAGTAATGATAACTAAAACTATTTCAGTGCTGAGTGGTCTACTGTTACAGTTATTCTTTTACAGTTTTGTGGGCGATTATATGAAGTGTCAAATGGAACAAATCGCTCACTCAATTTACAGTTCCAACTGGTATTACTTGCCAACTAAATTGATGAGGAACGTTTTGTTAGTAATCATGCGATCGCAACAACCTGTTCAATTGCTAGCTGGTAGATTTTTTGTTCTAAATATTAAAACTTACATGACACTATTGAAAAGCTCACTTTCATATTTATCCATCCTACGAGTGATGGTGGAAACGTAAGGTGCAAATAACTTCAGAGACAAAAGTTTGAAGAAATAATACCGTATAGACATAAACAATATCATCTGTAAAATTATTTCAATACTAGGATATATCTAGAACTAAATAATTAAATTAAAATAAATAAAGTATATATAAAGTTATTTTATTACATTAGTAAATATCGTCACATGTTGTACATCACTCACGTCACTTTAAGACGAATTTCTTACGACATGTGCCTTGCGATTGTGAAAATACAATCATTGCATGCAATTTAATAACTATTGAATAAGCAAAATATTTATAATATGCTAGCAGTTTGGTAATAAATTCGAGTATAGAATACAGATTGTTATCATCAACGTTTGTATTAAATTCGTATTCTGCCAATTGTATTTTACCAATATAATCCGACAGTAGATGCAAAAATGAAAAATTAATTAAATTTAATAACTATATTTAATAATATAAATATAACTATATAAATATTACTTAAATAATTACCAAATATAGTAAATAATGCTAGTTTTCTGCAATCAATCTGTCATCAGATTCTATTATTCTAGAAAAAAATCGAAATATATGTTGAATGTAAAAAGGAAATGTCAGAGCGTAAATTTCCAGAAAGCATAGATTAAAAAGCGAACAAAAAAAAAGTTTATATCTTAATTTATTGTGTTTTCAACTGTTTCCCTTTATAATCTTTTGTCACCTTTTTAAATTCGATTATTGCTCCAATTTTTATTTTCATTATAATAATAGTAATAACATATTCAGTTATTTTTTTGTTAGTATTCTCTGTCAAGAAAATTTGTAGTAGACATTTTACAAAATTGACTTTCAATAAATTTGACTATATGAGTAAATATCAAGCAGATATTATAAAAAGTTGCACTAAATTCTACATTAATTCTATATGTTTTTAATAAAAATATGGTATCGGAATAAAAGATATACTAATATGATCAATGACAGATGAAGTACTGGAAAAAAAATGAAATACCGCCTCCTTCAATTCGATCTTTGCTCAATCTGTTTCGATATAAAAAAATTGTTTTGTTCAATTTCTAAAATAACTGTGTTTTAAAAAAATAACAGAGTATTTTAGTAAAATGTTAAATTGTGCAACTTCAATAAAGTATGAATGTAAAAGAGCGAACGACGCGCTGATGATCGACTCATATTATGGACAAAAACCGATATTATTGAGAATCGTACAACGTGCTCTATATGACTGCGATAATGTCATGGAATAACGATGTAGCCTACGCTATGACTCCCTTCAAACTCTTAACTCTGCCATTAGGCATCTGGCCTTTGCAAAAATATAATACATTTTCTTTAGTTCGTTCTATCGTGTGCGGCTTCAGTTTGGTACGTTTTCAATTTTCATATTAGATATTTCAATAAAAATTTCTATGCCATTTGCAAGTATATTCAATATATGAAGTTCAAGTAAAGCATTCGGTACAGCGTGAATGTAGTGGAAACGAAAAACTGTAATAAAGCTTTATATAATAAACAGTATTTCCTATCTGTGTAGACCGTGATGATGATCATGTTGTTCCTCGAAATCATTTTCGGTAGCAGCGATGTATATATAAAATTTGATGCTCTAATGCTAATGTTCTGCAACGTTCTCTGTGTACTAAAGCTGTTGTCGTTCCGCTTATACGCTGACAATCTGATTCGCAATTACTCTTCTGCTGTGAACGATTATTCTACAATTGACACCGAGGAGAAGCGCACAATCATGCGGCAGCATGCATTTATGGGAAGAATGATTTGCTACAGTATCGTATTTTTTGCTTATTTAGCTTCATCAATTTTTACGCTGGCACCTATGATGACAGGCGATGAGGATATCCACATTAATGTATCCATTAAAAATGAAGCAGCAAAATTACCAGTGCCCATAACATTTTTAGGGAATTTGCAAATACCTACGGATTTATATTTCATAATCTCTATGGTACAATATTTTATATTGCTACTTACTGGTACCAGCAATTGTGGTAATAAGCCAACTGTTAATATCAAAGAGATTTATATACGAATATGAATTTATTTTGTATAAAATACAAATTTATTTTGAACATTTTACTTTTCATAAAATTTATTAATAAAATTTCTAATGTTTACACTTTTATTTCAATGATTTTTATTTACAATACATTTAAACTAAATTGATATCTAATTAAAACTTCATTTTTATTTATATTACATATACACACGTATGCATTGAACTTCCAAATACTTTTTAATCGACATTATACTTTTAATAAATATCATAGTTGTATTCCTATAATTGCTATACTTAATATCATTTATATTTTTTTAAATCACTTTTTCGAAAGACCTTAACTAATTTTTTTATTATAATTAAAAATTTTCAATGTAAAATATTTTAATGTAACATTGAAATATATTATAAAGGTAATGATTCACTTTTTCTCGCAATCACTCTCCACGTTTGCGGTCAACTGGAACTTCTAAAAATCGAGTTTAGTAACTATGGCGTGAAAAGCAAAAACATAAATGAATGTTCAATATTGATACTAAGACATCGTTATTTAATAGAGCTTGCGGAACTTTTGTCCGATGTAATAAGTATAGTCTTGCTCGTACAAGTACTGTTCAGTTGTCTTATTATTAGTTTGATTGGTAAATATCTCAGAATTAAATATTTTTCACATGTATGAAATATTATTTGAAGTATTATTTCGAATAGATTCCAATAGAGTTATTGTTAGATTTCTATTTTAGAAGGAATTCGGAATTATTTTGATCGAAATCTATTTCATAATATGTGCCTTAGTTGTTATATAAAACAAGCATTACACCGCTAGAATATTGTAAATCAGAAGAACAAAGTGTTAAAATTTTATACATTTCCAGGTAGCAAAAAATCCAAATGAATTCTTTTTTTATTTCCGATTTACAAAATGAATTCTTTTTCTATTTCATTTCTATTCTAAAAATATTTCTAAGTGTCTCAAAAAAATTCACTTTTATTATAATATCACTTATTCACTAATTGTGAATCTTTTTTTCGGATTTAAAAGATACCCTTTTTTTAATCTAAATGAATTCGCAATGAAATCGAAATAATTTTTAGATAGTATTCTAACTGAGTTCTAAAGCTATTCATTTTATGCTCTTTCTGGAATCGGAAAATTAAATAGATTGAGATTATTGGAATGCTTCAAAATACAAAATAAAAATTAAAATATATTTTGCGACAAAAATATTTTAATCCTAGTATGATATTGTTATTTATGGTTACCTTCCTTATAACACTAAGGTTTGTGAAACTCTGCAACTTTGTCGCGCTATATCTCTGGACTGAATACGTATTTTTTAGCTTAAAACGTGTAAAATTTGTACTATTATATTATGACTCGAAGTCAGATAAAGACAGATAAATATGAATTAAATAAATAATATTTTATTTTCTATTAATTACAATACTTCAAAAAAATTTTATTGGAAAAATTCGCAAAAAACTATTTTCGATAAAAAATTCTTAAATTTTTTAATCTAATATTCAAGCAAAAACTCATAGGATTTTTTTTTAGTTGACTTTTAGATTAACAAAAAAAAATAATACGATATGAATCACTCAAAAAAGTATAATTATTTGAATCATCGAAAATCGATATTTTTGAAGAATCTACATATTTTAAATTTACAATTAATAAAATTTTATTATTTAAATTATATAAAAAAGTAATAATAGATAAAAAGTAATAATATAAGTAGATAAAGGATTGTACATGTATAAAAATATTATTATAGTATGTATAATTTAGTTTATTAAGATTTAGTTTAGAGAATAATGCAACACTTGCTCTAAAGCAATAAATCTATCCCGGCCGAACGATCTAGAAAAACTAACAGAAAGAATAGTAAAAATTATTTCTACTATTTATTATATTGAAACTAATTATATTGAAATTAACTCTTTTTAATTCTACATTTTCGTGTACTTACTTTTATACTATTCGAAACTCAGTAAACGTATATTGAATAAAAAATAAAGGGGTATCCAGAACGCTGAAAACAAGCTAATCACATATGTGTGTGTGTGTGTGTGTGTGTGTGTGTGTGTGTGACTCTCAAGTATCCTCTTTAAAATATTTTAAAATATAAATCTGTTAAAAATATAATGTATTATATGTTTCTTTGTATTGTCATATATTTTGTCGCAGCACATATTTTCATTAATTTATATTTTCTATTATGCTATAAGCAATCACAAGTACGGTTCAATTTTTGCGGGAATAATTTTATTACATATACAATTTTATATATATATTATAATCAAAAATGAATTTTTTTCGAACTCATTACGAACAGAAAAAGGATTTCTTTAATTTAAATTTAACTCTATAAGAAGAATTTTTATGGAATTCTTTGTTAATCAGAAAGGAATTCTTTTTAAGTTCATTTCGAACAATTACGCTAATTCATAAAGAAATTTAAAAAATGAATTTTTTTCAAGTTCATATGGATCAGTTGTGCTAACAGGGCTGTCAGTAAAACATTTCTTAATTCAATTTACTAGTATTTCAATAACATAAAATTATTGAATAAACTAGCAAAATTCTTGTGGTAGTAATGCCTAATAATAAAGAATGTTGACTTCTATGTTGTGTAATTGTGTTTTTCAGGTTTTCAATTTATCTTGGCATTGAAATCACATGATGCAGTAATGATAACTAAAACTATTACAGTGCTGAGTACTCTACTGTTACAGTTATTCTTTTACAGTTTTGTGGGCGATTATATGAAATGTCAAATGGAGCAAGTCGCTCACTCAATTTACATCTCCACCTGGTATTACTTGCCAACTAAATTGATGAGGAACGTTTTGTTAATAATTATGCGATCGCAGCAACCTGTTCAATTGATAGCTGGTAGATTTTTTGTTGTAAATATTAAAACTTACATGACAATATTGAAAAGCTCGCTTTCATACTTGTCCATCCTACGAGTGATAATGGAAACGTAGGGCGCGTAACTTCAGAGACAAAAGCTCGAAGAAATAATATCGTACACACGTAGATAATATCATCTGTAAAATTATTTTAAGACATAGGATAGAACTAAATAATCTAGAACTAAATAATCAAATTAAAATAAATAATGTAAATTTTAATTAGTAAATATCATCATATGTCATGCATCACTCACGTCATTTTAAAACGATTTTTTAATGGCACGTGTCTTGCAAAAATACATTCATTGCATGCAATTTGATAATTATTGAATAAGCAAAATATGTACAATGTGCTAGCAATTTTATAATATATTCGAGTAGAATACAGATTATCATCATCAATGTTTATTAAATTCATTCTGACACTATTTTACTAATATAATCCGACAGCAGATTGCAAAAATAAAAATTAATTATTTAATAACTATATAAATATCACTTAAATAGTTACCAAATATATATAATAAATATTGCTAGTTTTCTGCAATCAATCTGTCATCATATTTTATTATTCTAAAGAAAAATCGAAGTGTGTGTTGAATATAAAAAAAAAATGTCAGAGTATACTTCCACAAAGCGTTTTAATTAAAAAGTTTAAAATTAAAAATTTTAAAACTAAAAAGCGAAGCAAAAAAAAACGTTTATATCTTAATTTATCATGTTTTTATTTCCATTTATAACCTTCTATCACTCTTTTTAAATTCGAACTGTGCTCCAATTTTTACTTTCACTATAATAACAGTAATAATACGTTCTGTTATTTTCTGTGAGCATTCTTTGTCAAGAAAATTTGTAGTAGACATTTTGCAAAATTGACTTTCAATCAATTCGGTTATCTGAGTAAATAACGAATAGATATAATTGTTGACATCGATAACACTGTTGTCTAATTGTAAAAAATTGATATATTAAATTCTACATTAATTCTATATGTTTTTTAATAAAAATATGGTATCGGAATAAAGGATATTGTAATATGACAGATAAAATACAGGAAAAAAATGAAATAAGTACTGTCTCCTTCAATTCGATCTTTGCTCCACTCTATTTCTACATAAAAAAATTGTTTTGTTTAGTTTCTAAAGTATTTTGGAAAATGACAGAGTACTTTAGTAAAATGTTAAATTGCGCAACTTTAATAAAATATGAACATAAAAGAGCGAACGATGCGCCGATGATCGACTCACATTATGGACAAAGACTAACATTATTGAGAATCGTGCAACGTGTAGTTCTATTGGTGATTGCGATAATGTCATGGAATGATGATATGGCATACGCTATGACTCTCTACAAATTCTTAACTTTACCATTAGGCGTTTGGCCTTTGCAAAAATATAATACATTTTCTTTAATCCGTTCTATCGTGTGCGGCTTCAGCTTGGTATGTTCTCATTTTTTCTATTACATATTTCTATACCAATGTGACTTGTATTTTCGTTATATCAAATTTGACAGTTCAAATGAAATGTTTGAGTGAGAACAAAAAATAAGAATTATGCTTCCTAATATACGGAATCCATCCTTCCTATCTGTGTAGAGCGTGATGTTAATCACAATGTTGCTCGAAATCAATTTCGGTAACGGTGACGCATATGTAAAAATTGATACTCTTATGGTGATGTCCTGCATCATTCTTGCTACATTGAAACTGTTATCCTTCCGATTATATGCCGACAATCTGATTTGTAATTATTCTTCTGCTGTGGATGATTATTCCACAATCGACACCGAAGAGAAGCGTACGATCATGCGGCGGCACGCATTCATGGGAAGAATAATTTGCTATAGTACTTTATTTTTCGCTTATTTGGCTTCATCAATCTTTATGCTGATGCCTATGATAGCAGGCAATAAGGATATTCAAGTTGATGATGCCAGCAAAACTCAAGCATCGGAGTTACCCATGCCCTTAACATTTTTAGGGGACTTGCATATTCCTTCCAGTTTATATTTCGTCATCTCTACATTACAATACATTATATTGATGCTCACTTCCACCAGTAATTGCGGTAATAAGTTTAACGTCCAAAAAAAATTACATGCAACATAGTTGCATACATAGTACATAGTAATTTAATATTTTAAATGTTTATCTATAATAAGAATTTATTTATAAAGTTCTAAATTTTTACAATTTTACTTTCAATAATTTTATTAACTATTTTCTTACAGCATTATGTAAAAACTTACAACAATAACTACGATGCTTCAAGATTATATTGCAGTACAATGCAGAGACGTAAAAATATTTTTTTGCAATATTATTTAACATTGTTATAATAAAATTTTTTAAAAATGTGAAAAACACTATTATTTTATCTTTTGGTTATATGCAACATTATTACTAGTTGGACAGGGAGAAGTTTTACTTTTTGTAATTAAAAAAAAAACCACATAAAATAGAAAAGGCGTTATGAGAATTTTCACCCATTAAAACTTTTTATTCTAATGAAATGATTTCTTGAAAGAGCGAACTTCCAAAATTATTTTTAAAAATAAAAAATGAGATATATATTTTAAGCATACAATTTTTAATTTTCTTTGTAAAATTTAATTTGGAGACATATGATATTTCTACAAATTGTATGTACCAAAATTTGTTAATATAACGATATTTAAAATAATATTTGAAACACTGAACGTATTGTAATATTGTATTATAATATTGTTGCCATATTATGTTGCAACATTTCAAAGGCGAATATTTTATCATTTCTGCAATGTTACAACAATACTGCAGCAACATATTTTTAATGTTGCAATTTTGTAATAAAATAATTGTGTAGTCTTTCTTGTGCTGTGCAGAATTATGCCTATTTGAAATTATGCCCATTTGACGCCCATTGAGCGTCCATTACGTGCTCTAAAAGCATTCAATAGATGCATTAATGACATTCATTGACGTTCATTTGGCGTTCATTTAACGCTTATGTGAAACCCATTTGATGTTCGTTTGACGCCCATTTGATATCTATTTGGCACCCATTTGGAGTCCATTTGACGTTTATTTAGCATCCATTTGGCACTCATTTGACATTCATCACGGACACTAAATGGACATCAAATAGATGCCAAATGAACATCAAATGGGTATCAAATGAACGTTAAATGAGCGCCAAATGAACACCAAATGAACATCAAATGAGCGACCAATCATTGGTGCGACTAATCATTGGTGCGACCAATCATTGATGCGACGTCCTTAGAGCGTTCAATGTGCCCAATAGGCGTCAAATAGGTCATATTAACTATTAGTCTTTTACTATAAGAAATACTATTAGAATTTTTAATATGAACTCTCTCTATTTAATATAACATTATAATATATTTACAAAGGCAATGATTCACTTTTCCTCGGAATTACTCTTCATATTTGTGGTCAATTGGAACTTCTAAAAATCGAATTTATTAATTGCGACATGAAAAACAAAAACATAAATGAAGATTTTTCAATAATGACATTAAGACATTGTTATCTAATAAAACATGCAGAACTTTTGGTCGATGTAATAAGTTTCGTTCTGCTCGTTCAAGTCATGAGTAGCTGTCTTATTTTCAGTTTGATCGGTAAATATCTCTTTTAAATTTAATATCTCTACTATTATTATTATATTAAAAATGGGCATTATAGATAGAATATTGTGTAAATCTTTGTAGAAACAGATGAAAAATTAAAATCTTGTCAAATGTCCACACAATATTTCCTAATCCAACCTAATATTTTAATAACATAACAAAAATATCAAAAGTTGGCAAAATTCTTGTGGTAATAATGAGAGTGACTTGTGCATATTGTGTAATTTGTTTTTCAGGTTTTCAATTTATCTTGGCATTGAAATCACATGACATACTGATGTTAACTAAAACTACCACAGTGATGAGTGCTCTGCTGTTACAAATGTTCTTTTATAGTTTCGTGGGCGATTATTTGAAATGTCAAATGGAAGAAATCGCGGACTCGATCTACAATTCCAATTGGTACTATTTGCCAACAAGGTTGATGAGGAATGTTTTGTTTGTCATCGTACGATCACAGCAGCCAATTCAATTTTTAGCTGGCAGATTTTTTGTTGTAAATATTAAGACTTATATGGTCATATTAAAAAGTTCACTCTCGTATTTGTCTGTCCTACGAGTAATGGTGGAGAGTAGTACATAAAATATAACTATTGAAGGAAAAATTCTAAAAAACATTGTATACACATAGATAATATCATTTTGTAAAATTATATATTGCAATACCATATACCATGACACAAAACAAATTTACAACTAAAAGTAACAAATTAAAATAAATAAAATTTTGTATTACATTAGTATGTATTATATTAGTATAATAAACGTAAACGTGTTGTATGTCATTTTATCACTTTAAGAAGTTTTATCATGACATGGGTGCTTCCTTACAAAAATACTATCTTTGAATATAATTTGATAATTTTCAAGTAAACAAAATATTAGCAGTGTGCTAGCAGCTTGCTAACAAATTCGAATATAATATCGCAGCAGATCTGTTTTAATATTAATCTCGTTTTCCACGAGTAAATTTTACCAATAGATATAATCCAATAGCAGATCCTTCCTTGATATTTTGTTATGCTTCTGTCTATTTCGCTTAATTTTTCGACTTTTATTTTCCGAGATAGCACATTTCCTAATATTTTTTATTTAACATATATATATATATATATATCTTCTTATATTTTCTAATATTGAATTCGTGTTTTTCTCAAATTTTATTAATATAGTCGGACAACAGATTGCTTGTAAAGATGAAGATTGAGGCCCTTATTCTGCAATTTTTAATAAATAACACTGTCAAGTAAGTAATAATTATATTATCATTGTGCAGGTTTTTTATATGATAAAAAACTATAATATAATGATATCAACACTGTCATTAAAAGTTATAGAATGGGGAGGGGGCTTTAGTTATTTATATAACTGTAATATAAATAAAATGTTATATAATTTAATTATAATATAAATAGAATGTAGTAAAATTTAAATGATTACAAAAATCCCGCGCGATTTCTGTAATCAATTTGTCATCACATTCTATTATTCTAGTAAAAAAGATAGCATAAATTATTAGAATATTAGGAGAGAATAACGCAGAAACGTAAACAACCTATAGGAATATATTGGAAATAATGATGACAGAAAGAACCATTTATTCTTAATCTTTTGAGGACCTGCATGTTTTTGATTAATTTTTTTATTTTAAGGGTTAGAACTTTTTTGTCAATGTTATGGGGTTGAGTGGCAAAAAAGATGGCGCTACTGTCGAGTCCCTAAGGGTCCTTCAAATCTGTCGAGCCTCCGATCTTCCAAAGATTAACACTTTTTCACTATTTCAATTTATGCTTCTATCACTTTCCTTTTATATTTGACTTATTTCAATTTTTATTATTGTATAATACATTCTATCATATTTCTGATAATATTCTCTATCAAGACAATTTGTAGCAAATATTTTTCAAAATTAATTCGACAAAATTTAGTTATCGGGGTAAATATAATTGTTGATACTGCAACACTCGTATTGTCTATAACAATAAGAAACTAATGCACTATTAATTCTATGTATTATAATTAATCTTATAATTCTTGATAAAAAGATATCAAAATAAAAAGTATTGAAGATCAGTGACAGTCAATAACTAAAAATAATGCAGCGAAAGAAAAATAAAATATTCTCTTTTCTATTTTTTGTCCTATCCTACTTTTATATACAAATTTATTTTCTTCAATAACTTGAAATAACTGTGTTTTGGAAAATAACAGGGTATGTTAATAAATATTAAAGTTGCGGTAGTTCAATAAAATATGAATGTAAAAGGGAATGTCGCCAATGATCGATTCGTATTAGGGACAAAGGCCGACGTTTACTGACAATGAGAACTGTGAACCGTATAACTATATTTGACTATAATGTCACTGAATGATGATTTGGCATACGCTATGACTCCTTTGAAACTCTTAACTCTACCATTAGGTGTTTGGCCTTTACAAAAATATGATATATTTTCTTTAGTCCGTTGTATCGTGTGTATCTTCAGTTTGGTACGTTTTCATCTTACAAAATGCAATAAAATTACTGTTTCACTTACTTTGTTCCATTCATATTCGACTTACAAGTTTGACAGTAACTTAAGTGAAATGCTTGATAGTGCATTATGGACAGAGTGGAAATGAAAAAAAGGATAAAATTTATTGTTAGTAATAATTGTCGTGTTTCCTACCTGTGTAGACTGTGATGATGGTTGTATTGTTCCTCGAAATCAATTTCGGTAGCGGAGATGCATATGTGAAACTCGATGGTCTTATGGTTATGTTCTGCGCCGTCCTCTCTGTTTTAAAACTGTTGTCCTTCCGCATATATGCTGACAATCTGGTTCGCAATTTCTCTTCTGCTATAAATGATTATTTTGCGATCAACACTGAGGAGAAACGCACGATCATACGACGGCACGCTTTCATGGGAAGGATGATTTGCTACAGTATCATATTTTTTGCTTATTTGGCTTCATCAATTTTCATGCTGGCGCCTATGCTAGCAGACAATAACGACGTCCAAGTGAATGTATCTATTAAGAATCAAGCATCGGAATTACCCGTGCCCTTAACGTGGGCTTTAGGGAATTTTAATCTCTCCACGAATTTATACTTGTTGATCTCTGTGGTGCAATGTATTCTATTAGTGCTTAATAGCACTAGCGATTGTGGTAATAAACAAATTATTAATATCAAAAAGATTTGCATAAATTATAAAATATATTAATTTACTTTAAACGTTTCATTTATAATAAAATTTATCAATGAGTCTTCTAATTTTTATTAATTATTGGCATATAAACTAAATTTGATGTTTACAAAAATTTATTTTTATTAATAAATATGAAAGTACTGAATCATCATATGATTTTTAATGTTCTTTTTAATGATATTATTGCTTACTGTAGTAATACTATAACATTTTGTGTTTCCTTCACATCACTTTTGTATTAGGTTTTAATTCTATTATTCACTATTAAAAGATTAATATAAATTTCCTGAGTCTACACAACATTGAAACATCTATTTATTAAGGATGTGATACACTTTTTCTTGCAATCACTCTCCATGTCTGCGGACAAATTGAACTTCTAAAAATCGAATTTATCAACTATGGTACGAAAAACAAAAATATAAATGAAGATTTTTCAAAATTGGCATCTAGACATCATTATTTAATAGAGCACGCAAAACTTCTGATAAATGTAATAAGTTTCGTTTTGCTCGTGCAAATGTTGTTCAGTTGTCTTATTATTTGCCTGATCGGTAAATACCTCTTCAATTACACTTATTTTGCATAATATGAATTGTGTTATAGCTAGAATATAAGTTTCTTTTAATCTTTTTTGTTTAAAAAACTTATGAAGCTAAAATCTTATCAATATCTTATCAAATATAGTGTAGATTATTATAGAATACTTCTTAATTATATAAGTATTCTAATAATATAATAAAAGTAACAAATAATAAAAGTAACAAATAATTTTTGTGTCAGAGAATTACTTATATTATGTAACTATAATGTGTATTTTTCAGGTTTCCAACTTATCTTGGCATTGAAATCGCATGATGCAGTAATGATAACTAAAACAATAACAGTGATGAGTACTTTGCTGTTACAGTTGTTCTTTTATAGTTTCGTGGGTGATTATTTAAAATGTCAAATGGGAGAAATCGCATATTCAATCTATAGCTGCGATTGGCACTGTTTGCCAATGAAATTAATGAGAAACATTTTGTTCATTATTATGCGGTCGCAGCATCCTGTTCAACTATTAGCTGGCAAATTTTTTGTCGTTAACATTGAGACTTTCATGGCCATATTGAAAAGCTCCCTTTCGTATTTATCTGTCTTGCGAGTGATGTTGGATGCATAAAGCATAAATTATTATAAGAAAAATTCGAAAAATAATATCATCGTAAACGATATCATGAGCAATATTGTAAGCAATATGTATTTTATACATATAAAAATTAATCTTAATGAAAAATTATTATAACCCTGATATATTGAGTTGAATAATTAAATTAAAGTAAATAAAATTGCATTCTTTATTACACCAATAAACATATTACATTTTGTTGTCAACATATCATTTTAATAAACTCTATAACATATGCATGACTTGCGACTATGAAAATGTGATAGTTGCATATAATTTTATAATTATATCAAGTAAACAAAATTAACAGTATACACTAACAGTATATACTAGCAGTTTATATTAGTAATTAACAGTATATATTAGCAATTTACAAGTTAAATATTGTTAACATCTAATT